CCCCCTTAAATTCATCTCTTCAACGTGATTTTGAGGTTAGAATGCGCATTTAGATGTGTTTGCACACGAGATGATTAATAATTAACAATAATACGTATATAGTACAATTACTTCAAATTTTAATGTTCTCATCAAAGTTTTTGTTTTAAATCAAGTTTTTGTGAGAAAAAATACTATAGTAACATTCATGACACCATGCGATCGCTGTTCTTTATGCCAAGTATAAATAATCATTAATGAAGACTAAAACAAGAGAAGCATTATACTAACCAGGATCTAGATCCTTGACCGTATTTTCGTGGATGTGAATACCAAATATTTTGAAAACCCATATTTGCTCGTGTTACGTCTTTTTTGCAATACACCGCAATGAACCGACTAGACCAACGAGTCCACAAAAGTGAAAGACAGGAAAAGGAAATGAGCCAGGGTTAGAAGTAAGAAGGTAGAAGGGCTTGCTGTTGACTTTAGAATACTCCAGAAACTCAATCTAACATAAAGGTGCATTCACATGCAAGCTTCAAGCAGCGAAAGCAACAACCAATCAACGAGGCGAATTTTACAGTGACGTAAAAAATATTTGTTACATCACTGCCCGTATCGTGCAGCTGATTGCTGCTTCCGATGCTTAACGCTTGACGCTTGCATGTGAATGCACCTTAAGAATTGTTCGCGTTGCTTCAAATCGCCAAAATTTTTGCACTTAAATGAGATAAATATATATTCGAGCATTGAACAAGAGAAAGGAAGCAAAGATCCTGAGTGCAAAAAGTGTAAGCAACGCGAACAGATCCCTTATCTACGCGGCTATCGGCGCCGGCGCGCTCAATCACATGATCACTAATAAAACGAAAGGGCTTATATTTGGAATACATATAAATTTTCTACGTTTTTTTTTATTTAGACTCATACACAAATTATTATAAGTACCAAATAATTGTTTATTATTATAATAAAAAGTATAAACAATTTTTATATATTTCGCTCTATAAAAAAATTTATTAAAATTTTATTATAAATCGAGCGAATATATCAATAATGTGGAAAGTTTATAAAATTATGTTTTTAAACAGATCGAAAAAAAATATTAACACTACGAGTAAATTACAATAATATTTAGAAATGTCAATATCAGTAACATAATATTTACATAAACTTATATATTTAAAATATATAAATTTATTTTTGTATTTATTTACATTTATATATATATATATATGTGTGTGTATGTGTGTGTGTGTGTGTGTGTGTAACTTAATATTTATTATTTATATTAATTTTTTAAATTCACAAATATTATGGAATTTTATTTTCAAAAGAAACAAATATTTATTGCAAGTTTTCATAAAAAAAACAAAAAATCATTATTATTATTAAACAGAAATTTTATTATACAGTTATTGAAGAGAAATTCTCCGTTAATGGAAGTAATCATTAAATATTATAAAAAATAATCATTAAATTTTCTCATTTTTTTTATAGATTTGAATCGTTTGTAAATCTTATGCATAATTGCGTATTTATATTTTATTAGATAACATATTTCCTTTTTTTTTTAAATTATCGCCAAAATATTCAATAACTTTATAAACATTTTGTATATAAGATTGATGACTATTTTGTACAAATCAAAATCTTAGATAAAATAATTAGAAGATATAGACTATAAAAAATATGAATTGACATTTATACAACACAGTTCTCCGAGGGACATGCTGGTGACGTTCTTAGGATATAGAATATTCTCTAGATGTTCTTGAAACATCCCTCAGAGAACTGTTATGTGGATAAATATAAAAATATATATAAGTAAGATGCAACTATAATTTTAAGCGTTTTACTACATTTTAATAAGATATAAAAAATAATTGCCAATTATATCTATAAATTAGTAATAAATCAAAGTTTATAAAATCAATGTTAAAATCAATTATACTTCAACATTATTAATTTGAAAGTGTATATTTCTAATAATTTTTACGATAAACATTATAATTCGTGTCACAGATTGTAATGACGTGAAGAGAAACCGGTTTTTCAATGATTCTCCCACGTGGACGGTGGAAGGCGGTTGAAGAAGCGGGGATGAGTTACAACGGTACATACTTTCACATGTGAATGATGTGCATTTCATTGTTCACAAGTAAATTTCTTATGGACTAGACAGATGGATTAATTTTAGTTCGCACTTAAATCAAAATAATATTATGTCAAGTGAAAAGAAACTTGGAAAAGAGCAAGATAAAAAGGTACGAAATGCAAAAACTGTTTAGATTTATTTTTATTAATGACGAATTGATATATAAGTCAGTATTGTAGACAGAAGAGAGAACAGTAATTAAAGGTATAAATCAATTTATTTTTATTTAAAGATATTTTTAGTAAAAGTTTATTCAAATCATTAGTAGAAAGTACTAATAATTTCTTTCACACTTTATCTTTAATTAGATTTAAAAAAGTTCTAATCAAATTCGAGACAATGTTGTGTTACAGAAAGCATCATGTTTAATGAAGAAACAAATTATAAATTTGAAGATGAAGACAGTGCTGAAGATTATTTTATCTTCTGTAGTGGGTCCTCTGATTCTGTATGGCGTATTTTTCATATATCTAACGCATTTGAGGTATCTATTAGAGAGACCGATGATAATAAATGAAGCTAGACCAAAGTTTTGGATCTACGCCAAGAGCAATGACACCGGTTACCTGAAGCATGTATATTCAGTACTCCAACGACTCGGTTTCCAGGAAGGTAATAATAAATCCGATTGGGATTTGTTGTGGGCTCACGATTATCCTTTTCGTGTGTTGTCCGCAAGCTTAAATAAATTGCAACAACATCAGCGAGTTAATCACTTCCCTGGTTGTGGTTACATCACGAATAAAGTGGATTTGTCGACGTCGCATGGCAGTCGGTATATCCCAGCAGCGTTCAAGATGCCTGAAGACCAGCAAGCTTTCATCGATTATTCTAAATTGAATCCCACAAAGCTGTTCGTACAGAAGTCGAACGATCATCGTGGCATTCGCATTCGCGACAGCAGCGATACAAATTTCACTGCCGGCACATTCGTCCAGGAGTTTATCGAACGGCCGTTCCTCGTGGATGGCTACAAGTTCGATATTGGCGTGTACACCGTTATCACCTCTGTGGATCCGCTGCGGGTGTACATTTACAAGGGTGACGTGCTGTTCCGCTTCTGTCCAATCGAGTACTATCCGTTTGATCCGGAGATTCTGGATAAATATGTGGTTGGCGATGATTATCTGCCGATTTGGAACGTGCCATCCTTGAAGAAATACTATGTTGAACTCGGGTACTCGATGAAGGACTCATTCGATGCATACGTCAGGGAGCAAGGAAAAAATCCGGCAGAAATGTGGAACCGAGCGTATGATGCTATTCGGGAGGTCGCTCTGATGAAGGAGGCGCAAATCAGAAAAGTCTCCAAGCGCTTCGGCAATGGCAGAAATTTCTTCGAGCTTGTAAGATTCGACTTGGCCCTTGATGAGGACCTGAATGTCTACATGATGGAAGCAAACATGTCGCCGAACCTGTCTTCCGCGCATTATCCTCCGAATCAGTTATTATATGAGCAAGTCATATTTAATACGTTTGCGTTGGTTGGTATCGCCAACAGAATCAGAAAAGAATCCTTGAGGATAAGGTAAATACATATATCAAAAAGACATCAAGATTCCTAGAAGTATATACCTATTTCTAGAAATGTACTTCTACCCATCTAAAAATAAATATATAAATAACATTATTTATATAAAAAAAGATATTTATTGATATATTAATATTATTATTATAGAAATAAAAAGGAAGAAGAAAAGGAAATAGCGAATAAAAATATCGTAGTGCTACCGGAACTCTGTAAAAAATGTGATAATGACTGCTTTCGCATAGAATGTCAATTGTGCCGACCGTGTTTCACACCAGAAATAAAACTCATTTTATCGCACAGTTATCTCGAGCATCAAAATCGAATGGATTTTCAAAGAATTTTCCCACCATCTATAGTAAGTCGTACTTTTTCGTTTAACTAATTGGCTGTATTGTAATTGAATAAATTTTTTACAGACAAGGGGCATGATGCTGAACAACTACACACTAAGAAATCAATTACTTATTAGATGGTACCAAGGAAAATGCGAATTAGACAAGACATGGTGCAGTTGATCATATGATTAAATCAAAAGTATATCGTGTAAGTCCTATGTAATATTTATTTTAGATATATGAAACTGTATATGTATATAATGTATAAATGAATAAGAGTATCTCTATGATATGAAAATTGTTAACACGTAACATGTAATAACGTGCGTTCAGATACACCTTAAAATGAAAATGCGCGAATGTTAATTTAATAATTAGTATTATTCTATTTATACATTGTACATTTAGAATGTAAAAAATCATAAAAACTTAGTGCAAAAAAATTATACGTCGGAGCAGCGTATTATATATTTAATTACGGAGAATATACTTTATATTCGCGTAATATATCAAATAAATATATATAAAAAGTTTCACATATGAATGTTGGATAACAAAAAATTTTAAGATTATTTGTTCTCGGTTGACGAAGTTCCTTTAGTGTTACGACCTTTTTTGACTTTTGATTCAGGCGCATTTGGATTGACACCTTTATAAAAATCTTGAAGCAACCTCATAGCTTCCTCTCCTTTTACATTTCCTTGTATAATTATTTTTGAATCGTAAAACTTTGGTACTTCGAGAACACTGATACAACCACCAAATCGATCATTCGCACAGCCATATACAATACTGTGTACTTGTAGTTGAAGTAATGCCGACATACACATTATGCACGGTTCTACCGTGACAATTACATCTAGATTACAAAACACCGTTTCATAGTCCATGCATTTCTCCTTACAGAACTTCAAGACTTGGTCGATACAATTTATCTCGGCATGGCGTGTTGCATTACAAGTTTCATTTACTGTATTATTGCCTGTCGCAATTATTTGATTGTTATATATAAATAAACAACCAACAGGGACTTCACCGGCTTTTAAAGATTCTTCAGCTTTTTGTAATGCAACGTTCATCCATGCCGAAGTGTCCATAATAAATACTATTAATTATTGTATTATATGTTAGCTAGATTGATTTTAAAATCAATATTAAAGACAGTTTTCTACAAAATTATTAACTCTTTCATGATTTAGTCTTTATAAAAAATGTTATCTTAAAATAAAAAAAGAATGCTATCTGATTATATTTATATCTTTAAAAATAATAGTATCTTAAATATCGCAAAAGAAAAATTAGACAACAGCGGTACTTGCTTTGTCAAAATATTTAAGTAATCCCAACTCATTTAGCCGCTTCTTAGCTATTTCTTTCCAATTTTGATTACCTACTGCTCTTGGACTGGGATGTCGCAGAACTATCACCTGAAAAAGCCGTTGTACAAGTTAATATAAATCTTGTATTATATGTTATTACTATTAAAATATTGTAGTATGTTACCTGTACTGGAAGACCTCCTGTTTGGACTGCAAGTTGTGCTCTTTTTTCGGCATAGTTGCCAATGCCAATAACGATCTCTACTTTTAGAAGTTGTATTATATCTATCAGGGATTTGTCGCAAGCCTCGTGTAAAGTCTTTTGTCCGTCACCCTGAAAAGTACAGAATAGTTCAGCATAAGAAGAAAGGAATGTAACAGAACAAATATTGCCTTTATTTCTGCCGGTGTGATGTTTCGAGCTTTGCCATCCATGAATGCCAGTGGGCAATAATTGTGCATGTATGCATATCGGAAAAAGTTCTCGGGATTTCCGCATATCTCTCGAAAGAGGCCCCACAACCTTAATCCGCTAATCTCACTGCGTGTACATTGGAATCCTATCACCTTTCGGTCAGGATGTTCTTTTGAGGGTTTGCCAACAGGACCAGAGATTTTGAGCCAATCTCGCACCATAGTTATTTCTCCAAATGGCACACCGGTTTGTGACATGCCCCATGGTCCAGGATTCATACCAACGAACAAGATCTTTTTTATGCCAGTACAATACTTGTGTACATACATGGCATGTGTTTCAGATGCATATTCGAGTGGATTGTAAATATATTGTATGGATGATGGAAAAGTAATATCTTTTAATTTGGTACAAAGCTCTTGTTCAATTGATAACAATCTATCAGAGATAAATGTAGATATTGTAGAAGCAAGCTCAGAGGTATCTTCTTTTGCTTCCGTAGTAGATGTATGTTCCTTTATATCTACATTTTTAATTTCTAAAGTCGCTTGTATTTGTGTCATATAATCTACGATGTTCGACTGCTTGAGTTTTTTTTTGCTTGACAAATCATCACTTTTTGCTCTAGTTCTCTTTCTTTGAGACATAATTACTTTTCGAGAGTCCGATATATGCAGAAACTCAAGAAAGAATTACTTAAATATTATTTTGAAATAATTATTCACGTTATATGTACAATAAGCGGCTGTATTAATGTGTCAGTTAATTTAAAGATATATAAAACACAGTTCCAATGTTTTTTCAAGGTGCGGATATTATATCAATAAAAAAGTGTGTTCAACCTTCGACATAATAGTAACTGCACAATACTTTTTGTAATTCCTCTGATTTCTCTGATCGAATGAACTGATGAACATCATCAATTACTGCAAGTGCAGAGGCAACCAAAATCCAGGAGGAACCGTACTTGTGTATAATAACGTTTTAATAGATATATCTCTTTCTCTTTCATTGTTTCGTTCAAAATCTACGAAACGTTTCCGAACATTCCCGAGAATATTCCGTTACGCATAGGTATCAAAAAGAATCCCCTATAGTCTATTCTATCTACTCACCACCGTTATCCCATTTATGCCATCGATTGTACGCACACATGTAATAAGTAAACACGCTGCAGTTGCACTTTTTAGATTTCGTTTTTTTCCCCACTCTTTTGCAAAATTGAACAGAATTACATACATTCGTCTCAGTTTTGAGTGTAGAAAGTGTATAAAGATGCAATTAAAAAGTGAAACGGAACACACCACGTGCGTTTGGCTAACATAACCTAACTTAACCTATACAATACATTGATGATCGGAGCAATTCGAGCAATTGGAGTTCGGAAATTGTGGAATTCAGTTCATACGCATCGGATACGCTATATGCTCGATTATTACGTAATATGATTACATGATTATATCATTACGTTATATGGTTATTTTATTGATCGATCCGAAAAATAAAATTGATATCTGATGAGAGATCCTTATATCGCAATGTTTTTTAAACTCTAAAATGCTGAATTGATCAACTTTTTGTGAATAAGAGATGCCGCTAATATGTGATCGTGCGAATTTGTTGAGTAGGTTTAAAGATTACATTCACATACATAAGATGTGAATTGTTGCGTCTGTACATGTATGATGTATACAGTATATGCAGAAATCGTCGGAATTGTCGGAAATGGCGTCCGATAGACGAAATACTTTGAAACGAAAATTGGTCGATACTGGAAGCGACTCGGACAATGAAACAGAAAGTGAGTATGCGTGCAATTTTGTATGATGTATTATATTGTTGATTTAAATTAATACATTCTAGATACATAAGATTTTAATGAAATGCAAATAAGTGCAGTTTGAGGTTAAATGATGTTTGCCATGATATTTTCTTGGCCTTACATTGAATTTTTACAATAATTACACATTTACGGGCATTGATATATAATTGAGAAAGTAAAACGAGAAAGTAAAATAATCGATGGAGAAAGTAAATAATCTCATGTTTATTCTTTTTACTTACCACTTAAAACATAACCTATAGTATTATTATCTTATAGACGTATTTTTTTTCTTATTACAGAGACTGCAAAGCATATAAAAACGAAATCAGAAGCGCCTCGATTGTGTCCATATTTGGACACGATTAATCGACAATTTCTAGATTTTGATTTTGAAAAATTGTGTTCTATATCATTATCTAGGATTAATGTGTACGCTTGTCTGGTTTGTGGAAAATATTTTCAAGGCAGAGGCACTAATACTCATGCTTACACACATAGCGTGGCAGAGAGTCATCATGTTTTTCTTAATTTGCACACACTCAAATTTTATTGTTTACCAGATAATTACGAGATAGTAGGTAGGTAAATTCATTCTTTATGTCTTATGTTCTTGAGCAAGTAACGTAAGTAAGTTTTATATGTTTATTAGATTCGTCTCTGGATGATATTAAATACGTGTTAAATCCAACTTTCGATAAAATGCAAATAGCTCAACTAGACAAGAGCGATAAACAGTCTAGAGCAATCGATGGCTCTATGTATTCACCAGGAATAGTAGGAATGAATAACATAAAAGCAAATGATTACTGCAATGTCATTTTACAAGTAATATAGTTTATAATTTTAAATAAGTAACTATTAATATCAACGTTCTATGCATTTTGTCAACTTAATATTTGTTTATAGGCGCTTTCGCATGTTACACCTCTGAGAGATTTCTTTTTAAGAGAATCTAACTATGCTCATGTAAGGAGACCACCTGGTGATTCATCGTATCTCTTGGTACAAAGGTTTGGAGAACTTATGCGCAAATTATGGAACCCACGTAATTTTAAAGCGCATGTAAGCCCACACGAAATGCTGCAAGCGGTAGTTTTGTGGAGCAAGAAAAGGTTTCAGTTTACAGAGCAAGGTGTGTAACAGATTTCATCAACTTGTATTTTTTTTTTACGTGATTAAAACAGTGTTTTACCAGTGATTGTGTTTAGGCGATCCTGTTGATTTTTTATCATGGTTCTTAAATGCTCTCCATCTGGCATTAAACGGTACAAAAAAGCGTGATTCTAGCATTATTTATAAAACATTTTTGGGCCATATGCGAATATATACGCGAAAAATACCACCATTGGAATTAGAGGAGAGCCAAAGAAGTGAATTGTTACACACGGTGGAGTATGGTGAAACTGTGACGGAAAGTCCATTTTTATATCTCACTTGCGACCTTCCGCCACCTCCACTATTTAAAGATCAATTTACAGAGAATATTATTCCACAGGTTGGTATTTTGTTACATGCATATAATATTGATCACATAAATGGAATGTAGCAGAGAAATAAAAAAATCGCCTCTTTTATTCATCCAGGTAAATCTGTATACGCTCCTGAATAAATTTAACGCCGTCACTGAGAAAGAATATAAAACTTACAAGGAAAATTTCATGAAAAGATTTGAGATTACTGAACTACCACCATATCTCATACTTTACATAAAAGTAAATCTTGCATCTATTATTAGTGTCGATATATTTTGCATTATTTGCTAATTTATTTGCTTTTTTATTGATTTTAGAGATTCACAAAAAATACATTCTTTGTTGAAAAAAATCCAACAATTGTGAATTTTCCTGTTAAGTGAGTATATAATATTTTCTCGTTTCATATACTACTGTATATTAAAAAATTTATTAACAATAATTTAAATATAAATCTTGATTATGTTGGCAGAAATGTCGATTTTGGAGATATTTTAACATCGGAAGTAAAAGCCAAGCATCCATATACAACATATGACTTAGTAGCCAATATAGTACATGATGGTGAACCTGGACAAGGTACATATAGAGTTCATATTTTGCATAAAGCCACAGGCCAATGGTACGAATTGCAAGATTTGCACGTCACTCAAATTTTACCCCAAATGATCACTCTTACCGAAGCATATGTACAGGTGAGAAATCTGAGAAACGATACGATTGTTTCTTTGCAATTTGTGCGATATTTAGATAATCACTATATTTTCTTTTTATAGATTTATGAATTGAGGAAAGACACGTACATGGAAAACGGAGATAGTAAAAATAAAAAAGCTATGTGATAAAAAGCTATGTTTGAACAAAAGCTCGGAAATATGAAAATAAAAAAGTTTACATTTTATCTATAGACTTTGTCTTAATTTTCTAATATTTCCGTAATCAGCTTATGATATTTTTCATTCTATTTAGTTTTATTTTTCTTTCCATTACAGATAGAAATTATTTTTGACGAGTTTCTTTACTTAAATATTTATATGAATTATTGTTAATAGATATTTAGATTTATAAAAAATTAAATTACTACAATATTAGTAGCTTAGTTTTTTTAATATTAAAAATATTTTGTTGTCAAATTTTATTACGCAACAAAGAACGAGTGTTTTTTTTTCTATATAATAACTAATTCGTATATCGTTTTACATATATTGTAAATTATCTCTTTCTCTTGGAATTAAATACAATACAAGAAAGATTTCATTCTTCTTGTGTAAAATTCAAATGGGGTACGTGCATTCGTTTGATTTGTATTTCGAATTTCGGGAGCGAGCGGTGCCGAGTGTGGCCGAGTGCTACCGAATAATACCGAACGGCTCGGCGGTATAAGCGGAATAAGAGAGAGGGACGGGGAAAGGCGGAGCTGCACGGAGATGCACGAGGTAGGAGTCGGAGCGCAGTTCGGGTTCGGACGGTTCGGAGTTGATGACGGAGCAGAGCCGTAGAGCGGACAGTCGAAACAGTCGGGCACGCGCGAGGCGCGACTGCGAGCTGTAACTGTCGGTGAGGCGAAGCGATCGTCGCGTTCCCCGCGCTTTTCGTCCATGCGTCAAGTCAACGTGTTTCTCTCTCTCTCTCTCTCTCTCTCTCTCTCTCTTTTTGTTGTCTCCCTTTGCTTGTTGCATCGCGTAAAATCGCGGTCGCGCGCCGCCGTTACAAGCGTATGTATCATACATGTGTTGTATCGCGCGTGAGTGTCCCGCGATTATGATCGCGTTGTATGCATCTTCGTTGCATCCGTCACGTGGATTATCGCCGGCCCAACGGAACGGACGTCGCGCCGGGGGATTTTTGTTCGACCACTGCAAGAGGTGAGTGTACATTCTATTCTCGCGACAAAAAAGCGACTAGAAGAGCGGCGACATTTCGAACGGCCGCCTTCCAAGTTCCACTATCCGTCTTTCGCGATGGCGCCGTCGCGCTTGCTCCGCAAAAGCGAGCGACGTTTCAAACTCACTGCCTGCCTGCGGCAACGGCAACGGTCGCGTCCTTCGCGCTCGACCTTCCCTTGCTTGCATTCGGCAGCGCCTAATTTTCTCTCTCTCTCTCGTTTTTCCCTCGGAGAGTCTCTATATTTTCATATTTCATTCGCGCGCGCGGCGCCGCAATTTCACGATGATGATATTCGTGAGGGTACTTTTACCTAACCTATCTACCCGTCTACCTCCCCTCCCCCCCCCCTCGCGTCTTCGTCGTCTCGAGGAGTCGAGCGACGTCGAATACCTGTTTCGCGCGATGCTCGAAAAAACTGTTCGATCGCGTGGCTGCCGTCGCGCGGAGGAGCCGAGGAGGAGGCGGCTACGCGCGCTTCATTGCGGGAGATTAAACGGGACGAGGAGGACGGGTGGGAGGAGAGACGAGGACGAGAGACGGGAGGACGGTCCGTTGACTCTCCGACTCTCTGATTCTCTCTCGCGGAAGGATTCCGCGAGTTTCGGATTCCTAGCGTCCCGTCACCGCCGTCACCGCCGTGTGTGTCGCCGAAACGTAAACTCGTTTCTGCGCGAACGATCGGCGAATGGCGAACCGATAATCCGCGTCTGTATACATTTCCCGCTTATCTAAGATTTCAAAGTCGCAACATGCGAACGTGCAGCGTTCTCTGATTCTTATTATTCTTGCCCCCGCATCTCGACACCCAGTGCGTTAAAGGCGTGACTTGCCTATTTTAGAATAAGATGATTCGTTGCTCGATGTTGCTTTGTTAGATACTGGAATTTGTAAGGCTTTGCACTCGAGAGGTAAAATTTACAAGGTAAAATTCTCTACGTCCTTGTGGGAAATATAATTGCTATAGTCGTCCAGTGTATGACAATCTTCGCCTTCCATCCATGTTGCTTGAAATCATCATTTACGCGAGGCGTAAACTACTTACTGTTACGAGAAAAAAATCTGCAAAAAACAGTATATTTTGCATGGATATTGCTTGTACTCACGATATGTGATTCGAGTATCAGTTAATGCAATTTAACGCACTGTTGCAATCTGGATTTACATTTATAGTGCTTAATTATAGTGCAAAAATTGAACAATGTTAGAGATCAATGCCAAAGGCACGGACTAAAATACAATACAATTAGGCAAAATGAGAAGTTGCGTTAAGAATAACGTATAAATTGACCTTGTATGAAAGATGCGTTTCGTAAAGTTTTTTAAGTATCAGATTTTTCCGATTCGACATGTACATTTATTTTCATATGTTTTTGATTTGACTATACAATAAAAATACTGTTGTTCTTACTTATATAATATTATTCAATAATAAATGAGAGTATATAAACTTAATAGTATAATTATTACTGTTAAAAATATGGACGTAATATAATCCTACGTATGGCAGATTAGATACGATATATCGCGATATATTAAAGGAATTAATTTTATTTATTGCGCGTAGTTTGCTTAACGTGTTAATAATAATTATAATTGGTTGAAAGTTATGTAGATAGATCTTGAATTAATTAAGAATGTTGTGAAATCTGTAAAAAAAGAGAAAAGAAAAACCTGCTCGAGCGCCTCGAGTATAGATTTGCCGGAATAATCTTGGCACGTTTCTGAAGGTCAAATTTTACGTGGGTGTACGGCAATATTGTCTAATCACGTAACGTACGACATGAAGATTCGTCATCAAGTAGCATTCGCGGAAAGACGGATTCTTTTGACGACGATAATATTAATCACTCCGATATCTTGAGAGGAATTCCAATAAATGGAACAATATGTATTGTTTAACTGTATTAAACAATTTTTGCTTATTTTTTTATTTGCGAGAGAAATTCTTATTCGAGGAATAACTCGCAAAACACGCATGTCGGAAATTATCAATTAATTACAAAGACGTACATAATTTTTTATTAATTGCAAGTTTTAATTTCTTAAAATTTTACTTAATAAACTTGGCTTAAAATATTTACTGGAATTTAGACAAGTTTAAATTTTCGCCAAATTTCTTTCAAAAAATTTGTAAAAGGGAGCAAACATTTTTTTTACGTTTTAGTACAACATACAAGTCTCTTAGAAGTCGAATCGATCATTTTTATTAATTCACTCCACTTCTTAAGTAAATTTCTTATTTTCGAGCCCTGAAAAGTAACATGATATACAATAATTCATAACTTAATTTCTAGTTAATAGCTGGTGACTGAATTTTTAATTTCGACAAAAATTTGTAATATTAACCTTTTCCATAAAGTTACTCAAGTTGATTTCTGAGAGACCCGGCATATGATTGTACTTGATTGTACATATTGCTTAATTCGATGCGAAGTTCGCAAGAGAATCAAATTAACAAGTGTCGGATGTAACGTAACGTAATGTGAATCTAAATAGGGTGAAGAAGGAAAATGGGGAAGCGTGAGACTTACTTGAGTAGATCGCTGCAACAGCAGGTGGGCTGGCTATGCAACGTTCGCGTATATGTGCGATTACCTGTAATTGAACCTGATGGTGATGATACCTCGCGAAGCCGCGAGATATACCGACGAATTTGGGTTATACGAATCACGATCCGAATGTATATATAGAAATCATTACGCGCATGCAGATGCGTCTCGAGTGTGACAATTAACGTTAACTCTAAGGCCATTATATGCCTTGAAAGTCGCTTACTTTTCGAGAGCAACTTTCGAACGACAGATTCGTGATAGGCACGATATTGACAGCGATACTCGATTATCGTATTCTCAAGAGATTACCACTAACCGAGAATAAAATTCTCAAGAGAGCATCCGTCTTAAGTGCTGCGGACCGTAGAGCTAAAATGTGTAAAATGTTGCGATGAAAGAGGCGAGAGAAAGTTTTTCAAACGTCGGTTTCGTGCACGTTAATTTGATATTTTTTTTTTTAGGATACTTTGTATAGTAATATTTATTAATTTTTAACCGCATCTTTATTATTTATACGGTGACAAAGTAAAGAGGGTATAGGAAGAGATTTTTGTGTAAATTTTCCGTCTAAACTCTTTAATACGTGGACGCTTCAAACTTTTCGACGTGACCTGAAACTGTCAATGAAGCGGAACAAACAAGCGTAAATTGTCTTCCTAAATTTTGGAATCTAGGGCGATCGTTTATGAAATTGCTAATACTTTTCACAATTGGAGTCCAGTCGATTTAACACTCGTCGTTCCTTTAGCAAAGAATGCAATTCTTTCTTTTCTTTTTTTCTTCTTTTTTTTTTCTTTTTTTGTGAAAATACGCGGTTATCAATAGAAAGGACGTATCTCGATAATTTTGATGCCTCGTTATCTCTCAACTGAATTTCACATCGGACTTTTACTTATGAATATAATATCAGTTAGCTACAATATACACATATATTTACTTACAGGACTTACTTTTACGGCATTCGAGGCACAAGTTCACGAGTGTCGATAATTTCTTTTCTCCCAAGTGCTTTCTTCGTGTGAAGAGAGAGCACTTTACGCGGTGATTAGGAGTTGAAGAGATGTCACGCCGTAACTCATCGTGAATCGGATACAATGCACGAGGTACTATTCTCATTTACGTAATGCACGACTACGGGATGAAAACAATACGGCGCGCTGCCGTGCCTCGTCGGCTCGCAGACGTCGAAAAGAAAAAAAAAAAAAAAAAAAAAAAGAAAAAAAAGTAAAGAGACTCTCGAGGCTGCCGTCGCCGAGTTTGTACGTTTGTTGTATTTTTCGACGCTTAAATGCAACTGAGACACGCGGATTGCAACGAGCGTGCAACGAGTCTATCCACGAGGACTTATTTCGCACTCTTGTACTCGATAAATATTGAAGTGCTCTTGCTGAGAAAAAATTTCGCGATTTCAAGAAACAAGTAATCC